GTGGATTCATCTCAGATTTCAAGATTTCAAAACTGTTAGTGAATATAACTCGGCGATGTACCGAATTACATCAGTTTTGAAATTATGTGGTGAAACAGTTAGCGAAAATGAGATGTTGGAAAAAACCTTTTCAACTATGCACGCCTCGAACATTATCCTCCAACAACAGTATCGAGAAAAGGGGTATACAAAATACTCAGAGTTTCTCTCATGTCTTCTATTGGCCGAGCAGAATAATGAATTACTGATGAAAAATCATGCATCTCGGCCGACAGGTTCTGTACCATTTCCTGAAGTAAATGTTACAGAAAATATATCATTCCCTGGAGAGAATGTTATATTTTATAATAACCGAGGACGTGGTTATTTTCGAGGTAGAGGCCGAGGTCGAGGTCGAGGCCGAGGACGAGGTCGTGGTGTTAGCCGAAGTTGGAATAGAGGAGGTGGTCGAGGAATCTCATTCCAAAACCATAACAATAATAGAGGGGGAACACATGATCATCCAAACAAACGGATGAAAGAAAGCACATGTCACCGGTGTGGAATGACAGGACATTGGTCACGTACTTGTCGCACGGCTAAACACTTGGTGGACCTTTACCAAAAATCGATTAAAGAAGCGAAAGGGAAAGGTGTCGAGACAAATCATGTCATAAACAATTCGGATGATGATGCTGGTGGTGCTAAAGATTTTACACACATGGACCTCGCTGATGGTTTTGCGCATCCTGAAGATGGCGTTGATTATGAATAAAAAGCCATATATATAGTTGTATCGTTTATGTATGTAATCAACCTCGTAATAATCCATATATGCATAAATAATGCGTCTACATTTTGTAAAATAGTTATGTATCTGTGTCATCATTTCTGTTAGTCATAATGTTATAATATATTTTCTAATGTTTACTATGTTATTTTGTTCTTCAATAGATAATGAGTATGGCTAAATCTGCAAATCGGGGAGGAGATATATGTTTAGCAGATAGTGCTACAACACATACAATACTGACAGACAAGAAATATTTTTCTAGTCTGAAAATAAACAAAGGAAATGTCATTACTATATCTGGAAATGCAAAAATAATTGAAGGCTCCGGAAGAGCCGATTTCATAATGCCAGGAGGAACAAAATTTGCTATAAAAGATGCACTATTTTCCTCCAAGTCCCAAAGAAATCTATTAAGTTTTAAAGATATCCGACTGAATGGATATCATATTGAAACCACAAATAAAGGTGATATTGAATATTTGTGTATCACCTCAATCAATATGGGACAAAAATATGTGTTAGAAAAATTACCCACTCTATCTTCGGGATTATATTATACTAATATCAATGTGATTGAATCATATGCCACAGTAAACCAGAAGTTTACCGATATGTTCAAAGTTTGGCATGATCGATTGGGTCATCCTGGTGCCATTATGATGAGAAAGATTATCGAAAACTCTCATGGTCACCCATTGAAAAACCATAAGATTTTTCAATCAGATGAGTTTCCTTGTGATGCATGTTCTAGAGGAAAATTAATAATCAGACCATCACAAGCTAAAATCGGGCATGAATTACCATCATTTCTAGAAAGGATTCATGGTGATATTTGTGGACCTATTCATCCACCATGCGGACCATTTCGATATTTTATGGTATTAATTGATGCTTCAAGCAGATGGTCGCATGTATGTCTTTTATCATCACGTAATCTGGCGTTTGCCCGATTTTTAGCCCAAATAATTAAATTAAGGGCTCAGTTCTCGGAATACTCAATCAAGAAAGTGAGGCTTGATAATGCTGGAGAATTTACATCACAAGCATTTAATGATTACTGTGTAGCAATGGGTATTGATGTTGAACACCCAGTTGCACACGTTCATACACAGAATGGATTGGCAGAGTCATTAATCAAACGACTCCAGCTTATTGCTAGACCATTGATAATGAAAACGAAACTTCCCATTTCTGTGTGGGGTCATGCCATTTTGCATGCTGCAACATTAATTCGTATTAGACCAAGTGCATATCACAAGTATTCTCCATTGCAATTAACATTTGGTCAAGAACCTAATATATCGCATCTCAGAATATTCGGATGCGCAGTATATGTACCGATTTCCCCACCACAGCGTACAAAAATGGGACCACAAAGAAGGCTTGGAATATATGTTGGGTATGACTCACCATCCATTATACGATACCTTGAGCCAAAAACTGGAGATATTTTTACGGCTCGTTTTGGTGATTGTCAATTTAATGAGAATGAATTCCCACCATTAGGGGGAGAAAATGATAGAATGGCGGGAAATAAAAATGATCTTAATTGGTGTACACCATCATTGTCACATCTTGATCCCCCAGCAAAACAACGAGAACTGGAAGTTCAAAGGATCATACATTTACAAAACATTGCAAATCAGTTACCAGATGCTTTTGCAGATACAACTAAGGTAACAAGATCATATATAGATGCTGCGAATGTCCCAGCTCGAATCGAAATTCCGAAAGAACAAATGAAAGAAAATGTAATAAACGATTCCAAAGCACGCCTGAAGCGTGGACGACCTATTGGTTCTAAGGATAAAAATCCCCGAAAGAGCAAAGGGCCCAAGAAAAATGAAATGCTCGATTCGGAGGAACGCGTTCCAAATCAAAGAAATGAAGTACCTTATGATGATGGTATAAATACAGACAATGAAAATCATGAGATCTCAATTAATTATATCAGTAATGGTACATTATGGAGTCGAAAAGAAATCAAAGAGATTGATGATATATTCTCTTATAATGTATCAAAGGAAATTGATGAAAATGAGGATCCAGAACCAAGATCCATTTCAGAGTGTCAAAAGAGACCAGATTGGATTAAATGGAGAGACGCAATACAGACTGAATTGGATTCGTTGAATAAGCGAAATGTATTCGGACACGTCATTATTAAACCGAATAAGGTTACTCCTGTTGGATGTAAATGGGTATTTGTACGCAAAAGAAATGAGCACAATGAAATTGCTAGATATAAAGCTCGTCTTGTCGCACAAGGTTTCTCACAGAGACCCGGAGTTGATTATGAAGAAACTTATTCTCCTGTTATGGATGCGATTATATTTCGATACCTAATTAACCTTGCAGTTTCAAAGAAATTAGAAATGCGTCTCATGGATGTTGTTACTGCTTATTTATATGGGTCACTTGACACAAATATTTATATGAAAATCCCTGAAGGATTTAAAATGCCCGAAATATTGAAATCAAAACCACGAGAATTATGCGCTGTCAAGTTACAACGATCATTGTACGGGCTAAAACAATCAGGACGTATGTGGTATAAACGTCTGAGTGAACATTTAGTGAAAAATGGATATACAAATAATCCTATTTCACCATGTGTGTTTATAAAAAGGACGATGTCTGGATTTGTGATTATTGCTGTCTATGTTGATGATTTAAATATCATTGGAACTCCCCGTGAAATTCAGGATGCATCCACCTATTTAAAAGGAGAATTTGAGATGAAAGATCTCGGACAAACCAAGTTTTGTCTTGGATTACAAATAGAGCATTTGAATACGGGAATTTTTCTACATCAATCTAATTGTACAAAAAAGGGTACTAAAGCGGTTCAATATGGATAAGGCAAATCCCCTGAGTACTCCAATGATTAATAGATCATTGAATGTTGAAACAGATCCATTTCGCCCCCGTGAAGATGGTGAAGAGACACTTGGTCCTGAAGTACCATATTTAAGTGCAATAGGGGCTGTTATGTATCTTGCCAACTGTACTCGACCTGATGTAGGATTTGCTACTAATCTGTTAGCAAGATATAGTTCAGATCCTACACGAAGGCATTGGAATGGGATTAAGCACATTTTCCGTTATCTTCAAGGATCGATCGATTTGGGATTATTTTTCCCTAAAAGTACAAAACAAGAAATTGTTGGTTTTGCAGATGCAGGATATTTATCTGATCCACATAAGGGAAGATCACAAACAGGTTATATCTTCACAATCAATGGAACTGCATTAGCTTGGCGTTCTCAAAAGCAAACATTGGTTGCTACGTCATCTAATCACGCAGAAGTTATCGCGTTACATGAAGCAAGTCGAGAATGTGTCTGGCTTAGATCTTTGACTCAACATATCCAGACAGCTAGTGGATTATCAACCAATAAAGCTCCAATAATATTATTTGAAGATAACGCTGAATGCGTTGAACATCATTTATGATAAATGTTATTCGATCGGAAATTGAAAACGAGACACAGAAACATTATGAGTTCGATTCCGAATCAGCGAGCCCATCCTACATCTCAGAAACCGTAAAAGTTAGGGGTGGACGTTTCGGTATTCGGTTCGATAATTATTCGATTCAGTTCTATAAAAATATTTACCAATCAATTATTATATCATATTCGGTTCGGTTCAGTTCGGTTCGGTTCGATTTTTATTAAGAAAAAATTATATATATATTTTTTAAAAATTGATATTTTAAGATTTTCTTAACACAATTTGGTTCGGTTCAGTTTCAATAAATTTGATTCTCTAACAAAATATCGTTCATGTTATAAATGAATAGTGAAGCTACGGTACTGTTCACGCAGCCGGGCACTGTTCACGCAGCCGGGTACTGTTCACGCCGCCATACGGTTACTGTTTAGCCGCCATACGGTTACTGTTCATAAATACGTATACGTGAACAGTAACTTCAGATTTTCTATAAATAGCTCATTTCCCTCCTTCATTTGTACATAATTCCAAGAAAAGAAAATTATTGAAATCTCGTTCCTGGGTCTCTCAAACGATCGATTTCGGTTTCTAGTTAACGATCTGATTCTCGGGTCTTCTATATTTCTTCGTTTTTCACAACAATATATATATATATAATATACTTTTGGTTTCGTCAATTAAATAAATAAATAAATAAAAGTCATTTTATTCTATATTTGGCGCGTATATTAACCACCACCAGCAAAACACCCACAAAAAAGGCGACCACGCATAAAGGAAGATCAAAACCTCCCATCACTTCCAAAAAGAAAAACTTCTCGGAAAAAAGTCCCTGCAAAAAAAAATTAAAAATTTAATGAAAGTAAAAAAAAATTCAGCGTGAAGCGAGAGATCGAGGGAGTGAGAGTGGTGCGAAGGCGAAACCACGATCTGGGTTTTGTCCTTAATCCATTCTCGGTCTCACCCTCGTTTCTCCGACACTCTCATTTGATCGGAGCTCGCGCATTCAGAAGAGTTTCTCCCGACGAGGTTGTCACCTTGTCGCCGTTGGTGACGAGGTTAGGGTATAATGGAGCGGTACGGTCGCGCCGGAGAAGAGGGGTCGCGGTCAGATCCATCGCCCGAATGGTCCGCTCCAGGAGGTGTAACCGGCGTCGAAGGTAACGTAACGATTCCGGCATTATCTGTGTTCTGTCTGGTTAATGGTGATTTGGCGGTTTAATTTACGATTAGCGTCGTGAGATTAAGGTTCTTTTTTTTTTTGTGGGTTTTTTTCAATGCATATGTAGCTTCGATGTGGCGTTTAGGGCTGCAAACCGTAGGAGAATCGTACCCAGAACGACCCGACCAGCCCGATTGTATCTATTACTTGCGAACCGGCGCTTGCGGGTACGGGTCCAGGTGTCGGTTCAATCACCCACAAGACCGTGGAGCGGTAATCCCATTTGGATTCTCCCTTTCGTGTTGCCTTTGAATCTTTTTTTCAACTTCTGGGTTTTGATTCTTTTGATCAGTTACTTGCTGTGATGAATGATCAATGATCACAGACTTTGCCCTGTTCCTGTATCCTTGTTCAATGGTGGTGTTTTACACTAACCTGATCATGGGAAACTTTTAGTAATTTGGTTCTTGCCCATTGTGGCCATTTCTTGTTTTCTTCCAAGTCTTAGGTTTTGATCCGTTTGAAGCAAAACATGTGTTGATTTCAGGTCATAGGAGCTGCTGCTAGAGGAGATGCAGGAGAGTTCCCAGAGCGTGTGGGACAACCTTTGTGTCAGGTACTAGTCTTGATCACTTCCATTGACCTGACTGTGAAAGGGAATGGCTTCGGATTCAGCAATGCATTTCCATTGAGACTATAACCCTATTGTGTTCTGTGTATGAGAATTGTGTTCAGTAGCTATTAGTGTGTTCTAATATCCCAAAATATCGCTCGACTGCAGCACTTCATGAGGACCGGAACTTGTAAGTTTGGTGCTTCTTGCAAGTATCATCATCCCAGGCAAGGAAGCAGTTCCAGTTCCACTGTTACTCTGAATTATATGGGATATCCGTTATACCCGGTTTGTACTGTCGAATCTTTCTTTGTGTTATTCGTCTATCGATCTTCACCCAATGTGTTTTGTGATTTCTTCAAAGTTTCTGTGATTTGATAATAGGGGGAAAAAGAGTGTTCATACTACATGAGAACGGGTCAATGTAAATTTGGCGCAACGTGTAGATTCCACCATCCCCTCGCTCCCGATGTACAGGTACTCTCCCCGCCACCGCCACTGCCACCTACTGCTCAGGCTATTTACCCAACCGTGCAGTCTCAGTCTGTTCCTTCGTCCCAGCAATATGGTGTAGTTATGGCACAGCCTCCCCTTTTGCCAGGTTCATATGTTCAAAGCCCTTACGGTCCGATGGTTCTCCCTCCGGGTATGGTTCCATACTCGGGTTGGAACCCATATGCGGTAATTTGTGCAAAACCTCATTCCCTCTTTGCTATCTTTCATCTTATATTCCTTCCACCATTTTCTTGAGCTTAGACTGTTTTCCTTTTTCGTCTGTAGGCTTCTGTAAGTGCCATACCCTCCCCGGGCTCTCAACCGTCTGTTGGATCGAGCTCCGTTTACGGGATTAGACCGTTATCTCCTTCGGGGCCGGCACATGCAGCACCCTATCAGTCCAGGCCTTCTTCTGTTGACCCTTCAAGTACCTTCCCGAAGGAACAACTGTTTCCTCAGCGGCCTGGCCAACCCGAGTGCCAGTACTTTATGAGGACGGGCGACTGTAAATTTGGATCCTCGTGTAGATTCCATCATCCTCTCGATGCAGTTTCACTGAAAACAAGCGTTGTCATCGGCCCTGTCGGCCTTCCTCTCCGTCCTGTAAGTTCCATGTTTAGTTTGGCATCAAGAGAATCCATTGAATGCTCTGTTTTCTGCTTCATCTGCGTACTTTACGCCATTAACGTTTCATAAAAGACTGCTTCTCTTTCATGGGCCTAAATCCAGCTTTTCACCTCGAATAAACGAGGCATTGCGGTGGAATTTTTTGTGATCGTATATAAAGTTTTCAACTTTCTTCACTGTGATAGATCTTCTGCGTCTTGCAGGGGGCACCATTATGCACTCACTTCACGCAACACGGATTCTGCAAGTTCGGACCTTCGTGCAGGTTCGATCACTCCATGGACTCGCTCAGTTACA